AACAGAAGTAGAGTCACAGATGTAGAAGACAGACTTATGGTTACCAGGGGATAAGCGGGGGGAGGGATAAACTGGAGATTGGGATTGACGTACACACTACATATATAAAATAGATAACTAATAAGCACCTACTGTATAGCACAGGGAACTCAATACTCTGTAATGACCTATATGAGAAAAGAATCTAAAAAATGAGTGGATATATGTATACATATAACTGATTCACTTTGCTGTACAACTGAAACTAACATAACATTGTAAATCAGCTATACTCCACTAAAAATTTAAAAAAAATTTTTTTTAAAGAAAGGAAAACACTTTTGTGACCTCAAGTCCTCTCACTTTATTGTTTATTATTTTTTGCCCCCACTCATTTCTTCATTTATTTCACAAGTATTTATCGAATCCCTATGTTGTTGCAGACAGTTGCCAGGGATAAAACGGAGGGCACACTGACCTGGCCCTGTCTTCACGAAGCTTAGATGAGTGAGGGAGACCAACTACAGTAGATTGTGGTGCTTGAAAATACAGTGTTAAAGAGGGAAAATACAGCGTTAAAGAGGGAAAAGGCTTTGGGCACAAAGTTACTCACTACGGTGTTATGTATAACAGCGAAAAATCAGTCACCATCTATGTATCCAACAACAAAGAAATATATATACCCCATGGACGATTACATAGCTATTAAAATGATGTCATGCATAGAGAATGGACTTGAGGACACGGGGAAGGGGAAGGGGAGGCTGGGATGAAGTGAGAGAGTAGCATTGACATATATACACTACCAAATGTAAAATAGATAGCTAGTGGGAAGCAGCTACGTAGCACAGGGAGATCAGCTCGGTGCTTGTGACCACCCAGAGGGGTGGGATAGGGAGGGTGGGAGGGAGATGCAAGAGGGAGGGGATATGAGGATATAGGTATACATATAGCTGATTCACTTTGCTACATAGCAGAAACTAACACAACATTGTAAAGCAATTATACTCCAATAAAGATGTTAAAAAAATGATGTCATGAAGCATCTATAGTAATATGATAAGAGATATAATGTAAAGAAATTTTTAAAAGGATATAAAATTGTATGAAAAATATGGTCCCAATGATCAAAAGATGTATAAAAGACCAGAAGGAAATTTATGAAATATTAATCAATATTAGTGGTAGCACCATTAAAAAAATACCACTAGGTTGAACTGCATGACATTACTACTTTTGTAAGTCAACTTTATACATTTCAACATAATATTTTGTTGAAAAGGGCTCAAGATGAACTTGGATTTGAATCCCAGCTCCAGTACTTTGTCATCCAGTATGTATCATCTCAGTTGTGTAACTGTGGACAAATTCACTTAGATTCTCTCTCGGGGCCTCAGTTGCCTCATCTATAAAATGGGCATAAAAATAATCTACACCTCAGGGTTTTATTGAAGAGCAAATGAAATAATGCCCATAAGGGGCCTGACATACAGCAATCCCTGAATAAATGGTAGCCATAACAGTGGGTGGCGTTTTCTTTCTTCTTTATTGTATTTTCCAAATTTCCTATAATTATAGTTTTTAAAATTCTGTAACTAATAAACATAATTATTTAAAATTTCCAAGGGGTTGTGGTCTAATCTGTGGGGATCTTGAGCCCAGTCCAGAGCTGGGAATGTGGTTGAAGGTTTTCTTCTAGTCCTGCTGTGGCTGGGCTCAGCTCGACAGAGACAGTGACCCCGGGAGCAGGGCTGATGTTTGTGCTCTGAGGGATCCTGGGAGCTTTATTTACAGAGGACACTCTGTCCCAGGGCCCGACTGCCCCCTCACCCAGCAGCTGCTGTATGGACTGAGCCCTCGAGGGAGGCTGCCTCTGCCCGATCCCAGTACTCGGTGTCCGCTGGGTCAAGACATCCTTTGGCACAGAGTTCTTCCCTTAGACGCGGCTCCTGGTTCCCGAATACAGAGCTGAGCTAGACTTTGATCATGTCCAGTCCCCACGAGGGGGCTACAGAGTCTCTCTTTGTGGCAATGAAAAAGGTTTGGAAATAAATAGTGGTGATGGTTGCACAGCACTGTGAGTGTAATGAATGCCACTGAATTGTACACTTTAAAATGGTTAGAACGGCCAATTTTATTTATTTAAAAAAATTATTTATTTATTTATTTATTTATTGGCTGCGTTGGGTCTTCGTTGCTGTGCGCGGGCTTCTCATTGCAGTGGCTTCTCTTGTTGCGGAGCACGGGCTCTAGGCACGCGGGCTTCGGTAGTAGTGGCTCGAGGGCTCTAGAGCGCAGGCTCAGTAGTTGTGGCGCACGGGCTTAGCTGCTCCGCAGCATGTGGGATCTTCCCGGACCAGGGCTTGAACCCGTGACCCCTGTATTGGCAGGTGGATTCTTAACCACTGAGCTCCCAGGGAAGTCCCTAAATGGCCAATTTTATGTTATAGAGATTTTGCCACAATATTTTTAAAAGTGAAAAAAAAAATCCAGTTATGGGAAGAGGACTAAAGGGAGAGCAGCCTTGTCCTGTGGGGTTTGCCAGACACCACAATAGAAGACCTGGATGTAAGCCCCTGTTCCCACCTTTGCTTGGCTATGATTAGGGTACCTTAACCTCTCATACTGCATGAGGATAACAGGCTGCTCTCAGAGGGCTGTCATGGAACTCAAGTGTGATCAAATGGTGTGAAAGTCTCTGTAAAAACACTCAATATTTGTTAATTAGCATTATCCCTCTCCCTCTCCCCTCTCCTCAAAGAAAGAAAGAAGGAAAGAAAGAAACCCATCACCATGGGGACTTGGATACAATTTTAACTAGAGAAAGCCTGCGTGCAGCAACAAAGACCCAACACAGCCAAAAATAAAATAATAAATAAATTAAAAACAAAAAAAGAAACCCATCACCAACAAAGTTTAACAGTACCGCTTTTTGTTTGTTTTTGTTTCTTTTGTTTGTTTTTGGCAAACCTTGAGGCTTGAGATTCTGGTGTTTTTTGTTTGTTTGTTTTGTCTTTAGTTTTAGTTATTTTTTTGGCCACACCGCGGCATGTTGGATAATAGTTCTCCAACCAGGGATCGAACCCGCGCCCCCTGCAGTGGAAGTGCAGAGTTTTAACCACCGGACCGCCAGGGAAGTCCCTTGAAATTCTGTTAAATAGAAACTTCCAGAAATAAGGACGGGAAGAGAAGAAACTAAAGGAACCTCTCAATCTCTTGCTTCTCACTGTGAAGGAGATGATATATTTTCCCTTGGGTTGGCTTTTTTGGGACCTCCAGGGAGGGGACGCTGAATCTCAAGGTGTAAAGAGAGCAGCTCAGCGGGACAAAGGCACCCAAGAAGCTCCCCAACATCACTGTTCTGTCCTGGCAGCGGAGAAATGATGTCCTTTGCCTGTCCCCTCTTCGTCCCCCACTTCTCCCCTCGCCTTGCCTTCATACCTTAGGTTGCCTTTCCCAGATTTCTCCTGGGAGATTTATTTCTGTCCCTTTTTTCATCTAAAGCAGCGGAAATGAATCATCTTTCGGCCTGTTTGGTAAACAAACCCATGCCCTCTGACCCCTCTCCGGGCTGTCTCCCTGGTCCCTCTGGAGAGGTTCCTAGGCTAGTCCTCACCCCCACAGTCAAGACCCTCCTGGGTGCTTACTCTTGGTAATGTCCCCTTCCCCCAGGGCCTGGAGGCTTGACTTCCTCCACCCTGGGGAAGATGGGAAATGACACAGAGCATTCCAACGGATGATCCCATGAGCTGACCAGAGGGGCAGGGGAAGCAAGGGAGCCACTGTGTTTTGAGGGCTTTGTGTGCCACGTACTGGCTCATCTCAATGACCCTATTAGGTGATCTCTCGACCCTCGTTTTACAGATGAGGTGTCCAAGGCTCAGAGAAGTGAAGGAACTTGCCCAAGGCCACACAGCTGGTCAGTGATGAAGCCAAGATTCAAAGTCTGGATTCCTGAATTCATTCCATTATACCATGCTGCCCTGTGTGTTCGCATGTGTATATGCATGTGTGTTGAATTGGGGATGCTGGCAGATCAGGTGCAACCCACCAGAATGGAAACCTAAGATGATGTGCATTAAGCCTTATGCATATGACAGATATTTGCCTACAGAGGGGATGGCAAGTGTGCACAGTGTGTGCCTTACCAGGAGTCTGTGGATCACTGAGGATGGTGTCAAAGAGGGACAGAGATGGGGGAGGGGGATTCACGAAATGCCCAGATTCAAGACCACCTAAGCCCTGCCCACACCTCATGGTGATGGAACTTCACAGATAGAAATGCCCAGCAGTGTCTCTATTGGTGAAGCCACACTTCCTGGGGGACACAGTCATGCGACTTTATTAGACTTCTAAAAATGTGCAGGTGCTTTTTCTAGGAGCTGTGGTGGGATACAGAAGTAAATCTTCTGACATCAAAGTATCTAGTGTGCGCATGTGTGTGTGTTGGGAGGGGAGGAGGAATTAACATAAATATATAAATAACTGTAATGCAAGATCGGTAGAAAATGCTCAGGGCCAAAGGGCGAAATGGATCCAATAACGGTTGGTATTCTAGCAAGACCAGAAGCTGGAGAGATTACTCCAGGCTAGGGATCAAGGAGGGCTTCCTGAGGAGGTGGCATATGAATGTCTCAAAGTCTCCGAGTAGATGTAGGATCTGTAATACCTCAGGAGAACGCTTTAACAGAAGTTAGATCCTTTTTAATTTGCCAAGGACATATGCCCTTATTCCTCTTTTACAGAGGTGTAAACTGAGACCCAGAGAGGTTGACCAGGTTGTCCACAGTCACAACGCTAGCCAGTGGCGGTCCAGGATTTGACCTCGGTCCAGGGTGACCGACTCCAAGCCCTGCTCTGGGTCTCTGCCGGGCGGGCGTGCGCCTTAGAGAGGAACGCAGCCCGCAAACAGGACGCGCCGGGGGCGGGACAGAAAGTTCAGGAGGGGCGGGGCTTAAAGTCCTGGGGGGCGGGACAGGAGGCGCGAGCGGGCTAGAGGCGCCGGGTTTGCGTCCCGCTCCACCTGCGGGCGAAGGCGCTGACCATGGGCGGCCGCAGGCAGGGGGGCGGCCGGACTGAGCCCTGCTGAGCCCGCGGGGCCGGCCATGGGTGACCGCGAGCGCAACAAGAAGCGGCTGCTGGAGCTGCTGCGGGCGGCAGGCACTGGCAACGCGCACTGCGCCGACTGCGGGGCGGCAGGTAAGGGCGCGGCGGCGCGTGCAGTCCGGAACGTGGGACCGGCCCCCGGCCCGCCGGCCCCCTCCTCTCCCTTCAGGCCCGGGCCGGTCCAGGACTCCCGCTGGATCCGCGTGTGACCCTTATATCACCTTCGGACCCGGGCCCCCGGCAGCCCTCTCCTCGGCCAGTACCGCTCCCACTCGAACCCGGCCGGGCCGCCTGTTCTCCCCACTCTGGACCTCGACACTAGATCCCGGCCCCGGGTGCCCTGACCATTCTACTCACCTCCCCTGCCAGACACCCTACCCACCCGGACCACGGTCCTCGACGTCTTCATTCCGGACCCAGCCACTTCCCACACCTTCGGATCCAAACATCCTACACACCAGGGATCCCAGACCCCGGACCCAGTTCTGCCCTGATGGTCCAGTGCCCCTTCCCCACCCGCCCCGGACGTCCCCAGGGTCCTCCCACGTTCCTGCTCCACAGCACTCCGACCCTGTGGACCCCGAACGTCCCTGACTCCGACTTCCCCATCCGCAGCTCCCCAGCCAGGCGCCTCGGTGCCGGTCCCTTCCTCCGCGCCCTCCTCTAGGTTCCTCGGAGTCCTGACACTTCCACATCGCGCCCGCCTCAGCCTCTCGCCCCCATCCTCCTCGGGACTCCTTCCAAGATCTTCATCCTGGCCGCTGCCGCGCCAGGGCCAGTGGGCTGACCAGAGGGTTTCATGCTGATCTTAGTTCATCCAAGGCGGAGAGGCTAAGAGAGGAGTCATGGGCTGAGCTGGACACCTCCCCAGGCTAACTGCCAAGCCCTGCCTCTCCCGGCGCCCCCTGCCCAACCCTGGTTTCTTCACCCAGCTCCCCTCCTGTCCTCTTGTCCCGCAGATCCCGACTGGGCCTCTTACAAGCTGGGCATCTTCATCTGTCTGAACTGCTCCGGAGTCCACCGCAACTTCCCAGACATCAGCAAAGTGAAATCTGTGAGACTTGACTTCTGGGACGACAGTATTGTGGAGGTAGCAAGGGGCGCAGGTGGAGAGCACTGGAACAGCAGAACTGGGGTGGAGGCAGTGGGCAGGGCGCTCCCATTCTACAGGGAAGGAAACTGAGGCCAAGAGAGGGGCAATAAGGAGCCAATTAGACTTGCCTTAGACGAGGCCCTGAGTTCAAATCCGAGCTCCATCACTTGCTTACTTACTAGCTATGAGGCCCTGAGCCCGCTATTTAACGCTGGTTGTGAACCCTTTCCACATCTGTGTTATAAAGATACCCCTTCATAGGGCTGCTGTAAGGATTAAATGCAGGCTCAAGGCAGGTACAAAGTAAATAGTCGATTAACAGCTGCTGCTCTCATTTGCTGAAATCCTGGACTATAACAGAAGTATCCTGATTCATGGGACACAGTCCCCCTCCAGTCCCCCTAGCCAGGGAGGGGACCACTTTTCTCTCCTGACCTACAAAGATGGAGGACACCTGCAGCCCAGATAACACCATTCTGGCCAGGAAACCTTCAGAGAGCAGGCGGTACTAAACTGGGCTGGCTAGCTGAGGATTTCCGGGACTACTGGGGAAGCAGACCCATATTTACTGAGTACCCATCTGTGCCATGCACTGTGCTAGACCACTGGGCTAGATACTTTACTCATTCATTCCACACGTTACTGTAAGCCTACATATGCTGGGTATAGGAGAGAGCAGTGAACAAGATAAAGTCTCTGCTCACATGGAGCTTACATTCTAGTGCAGGAGAAAGTTCTACTGGAAACCAGCACCTAAACCTGAGGGTCGTTTCTTTGTACCTTATCACTCCCCTGTTATATCTTCTTCATCTTCATGGGTGAGATCCCTGAAGCTCAGGGGCTTAAGTATTGCCCAGGCGTCACTCAGTGAATAAATGGCGCGGCTGGGATGCACACCCTGCTCTTCTGAGATCCAAAGCGCATGCAAATCCCGCGACACAGCCAAGTGGCCACTGGGGAAGGGGAGAATAGGGTTCACACTGCCCAAGGGACATGGATTAAAACCCTGATGTTTTTTCCACACGTGCCCTCACCCCAGATATGCCACTGCTGTTACTGAGTGCTGTTGGCCAGGGCCACTCCTGGCACATCTGCCTCTGGGTCTCTTGGGTGCCAAAGGCCCCCAGTGATCTTCCTGACCTACATACTCTATGGGGCGAGCACTGAACTTCTTCCATCCTCCAGCTCCATCTGTCTCCTGCGGACTTGCAGGGGCTGCTGCTGGTGGTCCTGGCCATCTGTGGAGGGGGTGGGAGAAAGAACATAAGCTTTGGAGTTAGACAGGTCTGGGTTCAAATCCCAGCTCTCCACTGACTAGCTGTGTCACCTTGGGTAAGTCACCTAACCTCTCTGAGCCTCAGTGTCCTCACCTCTAAAACGGGGGTGGTAATATTACAATGGCTGAGCGGATCGAACGAACTAATGCAGGAGAGCTGTAAAGTGCTCTGCCTGTATGAAGCATGGTTGTTACAGCACCTCATTGCTCCAAGTTGGGGCTTCCCAGCAGCACAGATGACCAAGCTGGGTGGGGTGGCGGGGAGGAGGGGAAATGTGTCAAACTCCGGGAGGAGTGTCTCCTGACTCAGCCCAGGAGCCAGTGAGCACAGTGGCCTTCAGAGTAGACCGTGGTTTCATTTCACGTTTTTTCAAGTTCTAACATTACCCCAAGTTGCTGTTGTCTTGCAGTTTATGACCCACAATGGGAACCTCCGAGTGAAGGCCAAGTATGAAGCCAGAGTCCCTGCTTTCTACTATATCCCCCAGGCCAACGACTGCATGTGAGTGGGTGATTTCCTGGTTCCCCCCCGCCCCCGCTCCCACCACTACCCCGTCTCCTGTGTGGCGGTCTCTTCTACAGACATGCCCAGCAGGTGGCGCCGGGAAAACATTTGGTACTGTCATGGAGAACACACACACCTGATGAAAGCCCCTCTCCACCTTCATAGCTTGGGTTGTCACTTGCCCCCTCTGGGACTCAGTTTCCACAGCTGTGAAATGGGGCATTTTCTTTAGGATCTGTCCCTTTGACTTGATGTTCTCATAGCCTACAGGTGATAACTAACTTGATTAAGAAGCCGCCGGTATTTTAGCAGAACAAATGTGTTTCAGTTATTATACTTTCTACGGAGCCCCACCTGAGCTGTCCCACCTGGGCTGTCCCACCTGAGCTGTCCCACCTGAGCTGCCCCACCTGAGCTGTCCCACCTGAGCTGCCCCACCTGAGCTGTCCCACCTGAGCTGTCCCACCTGGGCTGTCCCACCTGAGCTGTCCCACCTGAGCTCAGTGTTGCTCCAATGCTTAGGCCCCACCTAAGCACTTACCATGTGCTCTGCACTTTGTATGCGTTTAAACCTCTCAACAACCCTCACGGGTAGGTAGGTGTAATATTATTGGCATACTCCCCAAGTTCAGAGGAGTTAAGTAACTTGCCCTTGGTCACACAGTGGATAAATGGTAGAGTGGGACCGGGTCCCAGGTGGTCAGACCCTAAGACCACTGCTCTGTCCAGTGTAGCATGCTCAGATCTCATGGGTGGGCCACAGGAAGAGGCCCTTGGACTGTCCTGGCTTAAGCTCATGAACACGCAGTGGGATGTGGCAGAGTAGATGGTCCAGGGGAGCTGTTAGCTGTCTCATTGACCTAGAGGGCTGAGGCTGAGGTTGGAATAGTATAGCGGTGTGCATATAGCCCACTGGGGGAGATATTTCCCCCTGGGGAGACACTGGCAATGTCTGAAGACATTTTGGGGTTTCACAACCGGGGAGGGGGTGCCACTGGCATCAAGGGGGTGGAGGATGAGCAGAGATACTGCTAAACATCCTACAAAGCACGAGACGTCCCCCCGCCACTAAGAATTACCCGGGCGCAAATGTTAATAGTACCCAGGCAGAGAATCCCTGGCTAGCCTGAGCAGGCAGCTGCGGGGTCTCAGAAAGTTGCCGTGGGAAGAGGATGCATCAGACACAGCTGACTAAAGAGTCTCTCTTTTTAGGGTCTTAAAGGAACAATGGATTCGAGCAAAGTATGAGAGACAGGAGTTTATGGCTGAGGGGAAAACAATCTCACCCCCAGGTAAAGTTATTTTCATCATCTTTTGAGGGCTAGTTCTGATGAGTTCTAGAAAACAAAGTGCCTGAGTATTAGGAACAAGGTCAGCAGAGATATACCTGCCACCCTTGCTCTGGCCACAGAGGCCAAGTTGTGGGTTCCTCTGTCTCTGAAATAGCAACACATCGGCTGGTGGGGTTTTATGGTCTGACTGGCCGAGAAACACATTCGTCTCAGGTCCTTGCAGGGCCACAGGGTGTACAGAGTCTTCAGTATAAATTGCAAAAAGACTCACCCACCGGGCAGACCGGGAAGAAATAAGACACCCTGCTTCTGGCTAATGTAAGCCCTGGTGTGGCACAAGCCTCGGGAAGGTGCATGGACTGGATTTCGCCTCCCTTCCCGCCTTTGTGCAGGGCACAACCTCATCGGTGGCCCTGAACCTGTGGCAGTTTCTGCCCTGCTACTCTGAGTCCAAGCTGACACTGACCCAGAGAGCAAAGTATACAAAGCTGCTCTTTGAGGACCAGAGGCAGCCAGTGCTCAGCTCTCCTAGTGGCCAGGAGCACGGAGGGCACTCATTATTCCCACACTCTGGAGAGTTTCATTAGGCTGATGTCAACGTGAAGTTGGGCCTCCTTCAGAATCAATCCAGTTTCTTAGGATTTAGCCTACTTATTTTATTTTTATTTTTTTGTGATACGCGGGCCTCTCACTGTTGTGGCCTCTCCTGTTGCGGAGCACAGGCTCTGGACGCACAGGCCCAGCGGCCATGGCTCACGGGCCCAGCCGCTCCGTGGCATGTGGGATCTTCCCGGACCGGGGCACAAACCCGTGTCCCCTGCATCGGCAGGCGGACTCTCAACAT